TGTCGCAAGGAAAACGTACTCTTTATTTATGCTATTCAAACAGGGGCTTTTGACAAGTCCCTGTGACAAAGATGGGAGGTTCGTAGTAGGGTCGTTAAATATTATGCAAGATTCATGAATATTACTCACTTTTATCTACATATTTCATAGAATTATCAGCTTATAATCACTTAATTTATAATTTAATCATCAATCAAACATGATCACATCATTTAAAAGATTTAGAATTAAGCCCCTATTTGATATCAAATAAGATTAAAATTTTAATTTGCATCAAAGTTAACAATTAATTTTAAGGATTGTGCTGTGTGTACACACAGCTTTACACCCCCTCACGTGGAGGGGGTCCACATGTAATATAATATGCGTGGGCCTCCTTCTATGTGATGGGGGTGTAATTCGTCAACATTTTATCTAAATCTATTAAAAATATGATTTTAATTCATACCAAATAGGGGCTAAGTCTTATTGCCATCTTTTTTAAGTATGCATGATAAAAGGTGAACCTAGATCACACGAATACGTATAGTAAAGGCAATATTTTTAAATAAATTAATGCATCTTTTGTTTAAAGTTTGAGCGTTTAGATGAGAAAGTTAACATTACGTAATTTGTCTTGTTTTGTTTTGTAAGATGCACTTTTGTGAAGACTTGGAGTTTCATAGAATCCTATGTCTATTACAATAGGTATCGGAGTCGTATCATAAAACTTAGCTACATAAATTCACTTGGATGATGAACACAAGATCTAAATAAGTCGTCATTAATTACGATGGTAGGAATATGCATTTAATCTACAATAGTTGCACAATGATAGCTTCATGTAATAAGTGATTAGAAAGAAAATTGTAGATTAATTTCAATTTGATATTTGTAATATGAATTTCGAATTTCCAACCCCTGCAATCAATTGGTCAAAAAAGTATAAATAGAATGGCCCATAATTAAAACATAAATCATATCATAATTTTATCAATCGTCCTTAGTTTTATCTTCAATCATAGGTATATAAATATCTCTTGAACTCGGCTAGAGGTTTAAAACGGATCGGTCTATTTCAAGTTTGATTGTTCGGATCCTCAACTCTTTGTGATTTCTTTTAAATTTATTTCATTTTTAAAGAATTGTTTCGAGTCTGGTGGCGTGACCTAGGCGTGCTGGACTGACCCGACCCAATTGACATGGCCCAAATAGTTATGTAAAAGAACAATAAACTAAAGATTTCCCCCCTAAGTTATACATGAGCATATCATCATTTGAAAAAAGACTAGGACAATTAATGTGGGGGTGGACAAAGATGGGATGAGAATATCAGAATTTTGTGTAGTTATCACTTTCTTGGTAGAAATCATTTTGTCTCTTTTTTCTTTTGAATAATAAAAAAGTAAATGTGCATCAAAGTATAGATGCGATGATAAGATAGATTGGACAATATTAAAGAAAAAAGTTACGATCTTTTATAATAAGTGTACAATTTTGTCTAGTATTACATATTAACGCACCATTAGCGTATTTTATGATGTGGAAAGTGTTGTTAAGGTGCAACACTGGTATATATATGGCAACCTACTAGCAAAAGGAGAAGTTAAGAATGCGAGAGAGAGAGAGAGAGAGAGAGAGGTTTTAGTAAAATTTCAACCAAATTATTAAACATTTTCTAATTCCAAATTAAAAACTCAAGTTTTTCCTATATTTGAGTTACATTACCGAGTGAAAATACTAGTAGTAAAACTATCGATTGTTCAATGTGTCTGACAAAATCACAATTTAGTAACAGTGTTCTAAAAAGTATAATGTGTGATGATGATGCCAAACTATGGAGTAGGCGAGCTTAAGCGAGGCATAGGCGTAAAAAAGTATAAAAAGACATTTTCTTATTTTAATATTATTTTAATTTTTATTACTTAATCAAAAAGAAGTTTATTAATTAAAAATAGTACCTACCAAATATTTAAAACAAATTTATAGGAAATTTATACATTTTCAAAGTTTTCAACAAAAAGATAAATTCCAAATATAAATATTAAATAGTAAATAAATAGAAATTTTAGATTTCCTTTGTTCAAGACTTCAAGCCACTATTTTGAATTTAGGACCAACGAAGTGAATTTCAACACTTAAGTTTTAACTTAGAAGAATTGTAAAATAATAATAATAATAATAATAATAAATTAAAAATAAAATAAAAAAGATAATTATGCTCCCCTAAGTGCGCATAATTGCGCCTAGGCGTGCATTAGCGGTCAACGATTGTTGTTGATCGCTAAATAAGGTGTTAGGCCACTTAGCTTAACGTTTTTGCATCACGCAATGGCGATGCCTCGCCTTTTAGAACAGTGTTTAGTTGTCACCATGTTGTCAATTAGCAAGTAAAGTAATTCGGTTGAAATAGAAATGAATAAATAAATAAATAAAATAATTGTTTGATGACTAAAATGATTTCTTCTTGAAAGTTGAGTGACCAATTGTATATTGTAACCTAATCTAAAATCTTGTAGCTGGTATCGATGGCAACTAGCTAAACAAAATGATGTGGAGAAAAAATTTGAAGGAAAAAGTTGACAATATTATAAATAGACAAATAATAGAATGGCATGTGATATCGTGTAATCTTTTATGTAAAATTTGACATATATGTAGCAAGGTCCAAAGATAAATACTTTTAATGGAATGAGTATAATGGGCACACCATCGTTAACTCAAATAATTATGAATATTGCTCACCAAACAACTAATGTTTCTCTTCTCTCTTTTTAGCTTTTCATTCCTCCCATCTCTAGCATGTGGTCAAACTCACGGTGCAAGCATCATTGTACTAAGAGGCTCCTAACATTTTGATTTTTCTCATTATGAATTTCATCTCTTTAGCAACATGAATTATCAATCCTTCCTCGAAATTGAGAATGGGATTGTCTTCGCAGGCGTCATCGTAATAAGATGATCCTGATATCTACTATTTCATTATGACATTTGTTTTTTTGACACTATAAGTGACTAGTTCTACCTGACATTTGAGAAGAAGGTACTTTCTAGACATCATTGTAGTAAGAGGATTTTTAACACTCGATTTCTCGTTCTGGAATTCATCTCTTGAGCACTATGAATCATCAGCCCTTCCCTATCTTTGAGAAGGACATTATCTTCATGATCTTTTTCGTTAACTGTGAATATGATACAACGTTCAACTTAAATGGATTGGATCTTTAAAGGTTATTTGAGCTTCATTGGGAGAATAGATTATGCAATAGAATATCTTGAAGAGAGTATGATAAAAAGTATAAAATTTATGAGTAAAATTATTTTATTGAAAATGATTTTGGAGTGAAAAAGGGGTTTTTAAAGAACGAGGATATCAAATAGGGGATAAAATTTCAAAACATTTAAGAAAATATTTTAGTATTGGTCCTCAACCTATTACTTGAGTAACCAATTAGCCCTCAAATCTTTCATTCACAATTAAACGGATTTATTGTGCCCTAGATTGAACGCTGGGAATTTTATTTTTCATAATTTAACTGAGCATTTTTTTTCTCGGTTCTCCACTCGTCAATTAATATTCTTCTTCTACAGATTCGGAACTTCAATTGCTTGGTAAAAATGGATCCTGAGACCGCACGAACTGCAAGGGACTCACTGGATCTGGCGTTTCAAATGTCAAACATTCTCGAAACTGGACTGGATCGCCATACGCTTTCCATTCTCATTGCACTTTGCGACATGGATCTCAATACTGAGGCATTGGCAGCAATAATTACGGAGCTTCGTACAGAATGCCTGCCAATTTCTCCCCTAATATCAGAACTTCCTTCATCGGGTAATTATTACATTTTTACTTCTAATGATGATTTGTTCGGATTTTTTTTCTTGTGGATGCCTTGTTTTATAGGAAGTGATAAGCTTTGTTGTCAATCCCGATTTGCTTGTGTTTCTGAATTGCTTTATTTTGGTAAATGTGAGGAGGGGATTTTGGATTGTCTGATTATGAAAGGGAATTTTGTAAGTAAAAAAGTAACTCTGAAAATGATATTGGGTAAAATAAGTAACTTAAAAATAATTGAAATACATTTTAAGCAGGGCTAAGCTCAATATTTGTTCACAGCTACTCAAATAAATCCTTTACGTGTTGATCAAACTTCAAAGAAGGAATAAATTACTTGTGTTGAAACCTGCAAGTAACTCCAACCTTCGTTCACAGCCGTTCTACACAAAAAGGGCCTGGTGACAGGCCATGTTGTCAGGGGCTGAGGTGGCTCAGCCTCAGTCCCTGATCTGAATTTTTGAATTTCAAAAATTCACTGAGCCTCGGCCCTGTTCATTTAGAATTTTTCGTTCAAGAATGTAGATTTCTAATTCTTTCAGAAACTGAGATACCAGTAGAAAACATCGCTATTATCATTTGGAGGCTGCAATGTGAAAATAATGCCACGTGCAAAACAACCTCTGTATGAAAAGAGCATGTGTAGATTTTCTAATTCGCTCGGTAGCAATTTTCCTTAATTTCAAGAGTTCTAATCTAGTCGTTTAGATTTTGGAATAGGTCCAATGAACTGAGTGGCGTGGTGATAAAATATTTGTATAGCCGATCTCAAAGTTGTCGGGAACAAGGTTTAGTTTGTTGTTGTTTTGAAAGTCCTAAACCCCCAAAATAAATCGTGCTTCTTAGGTGACATTTATTACCATCGGAATTTCCTTTCTGCTAATTTTTTATTTTTCTGTTTTTTTTGAAGTCCACATGCTCTTAAACTAATGTTAATATGCTCTTAAAACTGTGTGTTACACTCTTGTAAGATTCTATATCAAATTATTAATGAGTTTGAATCTTAACGCCATTTTCATCTTGTGTCGTGATGTGAAATCTTGCCCATACATGTTTTTGTCATTCTCTGCAGATAATTGAGATATGAGACCGAGGCAACGAATCTGAGTTGAATGGTCTTTGGTGCTGGTGTTCTTTCTCCATTTTGTTTTGTCCATGCTCGATATTCGTTAGTTTTCTGTCTTGTGGTTCTAGTCCTTGTACACTACGATAAAGAGTGCGATTTCATGAATTGCATTATCGTTCAGTTCAATCCAATGTTGCGTCACACATGGTATGTTTTATTGCCTTGAATTTTGTGTTGGTTCAAAAATTGGATCCGAGTGATGTGTCGTGATGTGAAATCTTGCCCATACATGTTTTTGTCATTCTCTGCAGATAATTGAGATATGAGACCGAGGCAACGAATCTGAGTTGAATGGTCTTTGGTGCTGGTGTTCTTTCTCCATTTTGTTTTGTCCATGCTCGATATTCGTTAGTTTTCTGTCTTGTGGTTCTAGTCCTTGTACACTACGATAAAGAGTGCGATTTCATGAATTGCATTATCGTTCAGTTCAATCCAATGTTGCGTCACACATGGTATGTTTTATTGCCTTGAATTTTGTGTTGGTTCAAAAATTGGATCCGAGTGAGTGAAGTATTTAAACCAGTCTTGTCGAATATGCGAATAGTGATAGGATAATAAAATATTGAAACAAAATAATAGATATTTATGCAAATATGATGACAATTCTCCAAATAAAACATATAAAACACACTGAAACTTCTCATCTCATCAACCATACATATACCTTCGCAGTCTCTCTCTCTCCCCCACAGCTAACCATACCCAATACAGAAATAAGATTCCCTAATTCCACAAAGGAAAAAGCACAAGGAAACGTATTAAGTCTCGAAGGATAGTACCAATACTTCACTCGTGATCCTCAAATTCACCTTCGTCTTCCTCGTATTCACCTTCCTCGTCTGCAGTAGCATCCTGGTACTGCTGGTACTCGGACACAAGATCGTTCATGTTGCTCTCTGCTTCTGTAAACTCCATCTCATCCATACCTTCACCAGTATACCAATGCAAGAAAGCCTTCCTCCTGAACATAGCGGTGAACTGCTCACTCACTCTCCTAAACATTTCCTGAATGGAGGTTGAGTTCCCAACGAAGGTGGACGCCATTGAAAGGCCTCTTGGTGGGATATCACAGACACTTGATTTCACGTTGTTTGGTATCCACTCGACAAAGTATGAAGAGTTCTTGTTTTGAACGTTAATCATTTGTTCATCCACTTCCTTGGTGCTCATTTTGCCTCTGAACATGGCCGAGGCAGTGAGGTAACGTCCATGGCGTGGGTCAGCAGCACACATCATGTTCTTGGCATCCCACATTTGCTGAGTCAGCTCAGGGACTGTAAGGGCACGGTATTGCTGTGAACCACGAGATGTCAGTGGAGCAAACCCAACCATGAAAAAGTGCAAACGGGGGAATGGGATTAAGTTGACAGCAAGCTTTCGTAGATCAGAATTGAGTTGACCAGGGAATCGAAGGCAGCAAGTGACACCGCTCATGGTTGCAGAAATTAAGTGGTTCAGATCGCCAACTGGAATGAAAGAAAGAGAACTATAATAAGCAACTGAAACATTGATATAATACGTAAGAAGTGTGTGGATGAACTTCACTCTGAGAAGCTACTTCGTTAATTTTAGAAAATCAAATCAATGTGTTATCATTAGTGATACAACAATGTAACATGTATTTGTATAAACATTTTCAAATGATTAAGTTAATCAAAGGAAATTAGTAAAAATAATTCTAAGATACTGATGGTATTTTCATCATCTTAAACAAAAATGAACTACATAATACACATTATTTCATGATTAAAGACCTATGTTACACCCCAAGAACAGTTGCTATGAAATATATTCCAGGACGGGGGGTTTATATTTCTTATGTTCAAATTTGTATGTGTGATATATATCAGGTACAAACTGTAATCAGCGTATATCAGCAATGAACCATTGATTGAAGCAAATCAGGCAACTCTATAAACAGTATCTCAGGCAACAATATATAGATGGCACCAACAAGGATTTCAGTAAAATATACTCACAGCTAGGGGTGGTAAGTTTGAGTGTCCTGAAACAAATATCATATAAAGCTTCATTGTCTAGCACCATGCATTCATCTGCATTCTCAACAAGCTGATGCACTGAAAGTGTTGCATTGTATGGCTCAACCACTGTATCAGAAACCTTGGGAGAAGGGAACACTGAGAATGTCAGCATCATCCTATCTGGGTACTCTTCCCTAATCTTTGAGATCAACAAAGTACCCATACCAGAACCCGTTCCTCCACCAAGAGAGTGGCACACTTGAAACCCTAGAAAAGCAAAAGTGAATCTCAGAAAAGAGCATACACAATTTTTAAATCAAGAAAAATTACTTCCCATGCAATATCCATCAAGGAAGTGAAATCCTCTTTGAATATTGTCAATGTAGTTAGAGATGCTTATCTATGAATCCAATGAGCTCTGTAATCAACAATTTTTGAAAAATAAACAACTTAATCATATTTCAATGTCGCAAAGTACCTTGAAGGCAATCACAATTCTCAGCCTCCTTTCTCACAACATCAAGAACCGAGTCGATAAGCTCAGCACCCTCTGTGTAGTGCCCTTTAGCCCAGTTATTTCCAGCACCAGACTGACCGAAGACAAAATTATCAGGCCTGAAAATCTGTCCATATGGACCGGTGCGGACACTGTCCATAGTTCCAGGCTCCAGATCCATGAGCACTGCACGGGGAACAAACCTTCCACAGGATGCCTCATTATAGTACACATTGACGCGCTCTAATTGCAAGTCAGAAGTTCCAACGTAGCGCCCAGTTGGGTCTATGCCATGCTCATCACACACAACCTCCCAGAACTTTGATCCGATCTGGTTACCGCATTGGCCTCCCTGAACGTGAAGGATTTCTCTCATTTTCTACCTACAAATTACAAAGAAACATCAAATACCCATTCGAATTGCCATCCACTCTCTCAAAATAATCAATTTCCTAAATTTTACCAGAATCCAGTCGAGATAGGAACCAGATCTCCTAAAAAAAACATACAACATTAGTTATACACTAAAATGAAATGACAAGTTCTTTTGGATAGGCATATACACATTGATCAAATCCAAGTCATACAGTGGTGCATTAAGATCAATTATAGATCTATCAACCAGTAAGACAAAGAAAAAAACAATTTTAACATCCATACGTTCACCAGATTTGCCAAAATTCAATGGAAATTTAAAACCATGTAAGGCACATTTACTGATCTGATACGAAATGGTAACACAGTTGGAAATTAGAGTCAATCAAAATCACCCAAATTGTCAGAATTTCAAATAAATATTAAAATCAACGAGATCTACTTACGTTTTATAAAATCAATTGTATAGTGACCCGTAAATCATCAAATATTTCATTTAACTTGAACATTAAAAAAAATAAAATAAAAAATAAAATAAATAACATGACCAACGGTAAAAGTCAAGTTATTTAAGTACAGACATTACAATTATCCAGATGCACCAACGAATAGGTAGATCTGAGGTATCAAAATAACAAATATATATAAGAGCTTAACATTTTAAAAATAACTGATCTACCAATATTTTCCCAGTCATTTCAAGAGGAAGCCGCAAAATTTAAAACATCAATTAACACGATAATATTTCAGGAAGTTGAAAATCAAACTATAAATGTTCATATAAGCACTAAGATTTTGAGAAAAAATGACGAATCCAAAAACATTCAAAGAATTGCCAATTCTAGATGAATTACAAACGTATAAAATTACTTGTTTATACTACAAATTTAAAAATGTGAACAAAATTGGAAAATTACCTTTAATATTTGAGGACAGATGAGAATTTTATGATCTGGATCGAGATAGAAATATCTCCCCGATCGATTAGAGAGTGAGAGGAGTGTGTGGGAAATATGAACCCCCGGAGATGGATTTTATATCAACGAGACGAAGGATGAACGGCCAGGATTGCCACCCTACTACTATTGGTGGGCCATTACTGCCGTCGGATTGTAGTAATTGACGGCCACGATTCAATTGGGAACCCCTAATATTCAGATTTGAATTTTTCTAAAAATGGACATGTTAAATGACAACCGTGGCCTCTTTGAAATGACCTAAATACCCTTTGAGTAACTACAGAGCGGGAACCTGGGGGGTGTTTGATTCTTGCCTTAATATTTTTGCAATAAAGCATGATTGCATATTTGAGTCCGTTCGATGATAATTATGAAAAAAGAAATTCCATGTGTACTCCTCTACAATGGGGTACACCCGCTTACATGGGGCCCGCGAATATTTTATTGCATGTCGGCTCCCTTCCATGTGAGGGAGGTATAATGTTGTGTGTACATATAGCACTTTTTTTATGATAATTAATTTTTGGACTGTTAAAAAAAAGTGTCCCACCTATAAGTAAAAAAATAAAAAAGATGGTTGAAATAGTGAAATAATAGTAAAAAAACTAAATTTTTGGATGAAAAATTGCTACCAAACGAGGCCTTAAAATAAGTTAGGTTTGTCTTTAAAGTTATATTTCTTCCGTCCCATTTATACAAGTTGTTTTTATTTTTCACAGAGATTAAAAAAATCTTATTTAGTATCATTGAGAAAAATAAATTTTTTTTTTCTAATTTATCATTATTTATATTTGTAAAATTTCAAGATTAAGTGAGAAAATTTGATTATAACTAAATAAATTAAATAATGGTATATTAGTAAATGAACAAAACAAAACATTCTCAGTAAAATAAAAAACACGTGACTATATAATTGAGACAAGAAAATTAGCCTATACAAATTGGATGAAGGAACAAGGAAGTATTTTACTAACTGAATTCACTTTTTAAAGTTATTTTTAAGTATGATCAAACATAAAACAATGAACATTAAAATTCAATAATTCAATCGTGATTATTATAATAACAATTTTCAAATGTATTTAAAATTTGTTTTGATAGGAAAAAACCTAAACAATAAAAATAATTCCTTCTTTTTTTTTTAATATCCTCAAATTATTTTAATTGATGAAAAGATATCAATATAGATTATTTGCAAATTATCCGCATCACAACTCATGATGTAAATACGGAGAGATTTGTATTGGAATTCTTTAATCCAGTGGGTTTTGATCTTCGGTATAATATAAACTAAGTTCATGATGGTGGCGACGATGGAAGTGGTTCTGAGGGGTGGTGGTCAATTTTGGGCCAGTGGTAGTGATGGTAGATCTCTGGTTTTAGGTTGAGGGATTGGGGGAGAAGAAGATGTATTTTTCCTTTTCATTTTATGTTCTTTTTCTTTTTCTTTTTAAGTTTTTTAATGTGGAAAATATAAAGTTATCATTTTATTCTTTTATAATTGATTAAAATGTGGTGAACATCCAATTTTCTAGTCAACTAACAGAAATATGGAAGGAATCCGTCCGCTAGGGCTTCATCCACAATATTTTAAAAGGTTTGTGGTGACAGTTGTAAAAGATTAGGGAAAAGGCTGCAACTTTTTGAAAAGTTTGGGATCTTACATGCAATTATCCATTTTTTACACTCAATTTTAATTATACATTCTTTTAATAAAAATAATTTTACACGCCAATTTAATTTAGTTTTTTTTTTTACTTTTAATCACATATTTTTTAAAAATTCACTACTAAAAAATTTATTTCCAAAACTTGGGGTCAAACAGGTGCTAGATTTCAAAGGGCATACATGTCATTTAGGGTATCATACAGTACTTATTGCTGCTAAATTATTGAGGACAGAACAGTAAATTTGCATTGGTAACCCTGAACAATCATTAGAGATATTATATTACTCTTTAAGCATCAGCAGATCCAGCATCTCTTTCCGATTCAATTGGCTCTGTGTCAAACAAATAACCAATTTTTAGAGCGTAATATATACTCTCTGTTTTATTGGATCTTATTATCCTCGTATTATTAATTTATTCGGTAAATATAGTTTAGTGAATCGCCTGGTAAAGAAGGCGAGTGAAGTTAGCTGACACAGTTGGAAAGACAGAGACAAACAGGTCTGCCTAAAAATCAGCAACTCACATGAAATAAAGTTGTCGACACGTGCCTGCCAGCAAATACATTACACGCGCCTGCACCAATTGTTAAAAGGTTGAACCTTAACCTTGAGGGCGCTCACCGTTTCGTCCCTAGAGTTTTGTGACGGAGGTAAATTGTAGGATGTACCTCAACAGGCTAGAGAACAAGAGCTGTCTGTACACTGCGTCTACAAAGAGTCCAATTCCATATCTCAGAATTGAATCCCCACACCGCAACTACCACAAGGCGTGAGATAACCTCACTCTTATCCTTTGCACCACTGGACTATGCCCCAGGGGTACGCCTGCACCAATTGTTACCCTAGTTAGATTATGGCCATGGATTGATTTGGTGATGATTTCATTTTATTTTCAAATTTGCTTTCCTGGGTGTTTAAGCATCATTTTCATCTTGGTGCAAAATATTTGAATTTTAGATAATTTAACCCTTTTTAAAAAAAAAAAAAAAATTTCCCCCCTAGCATGATGAGAAACATTGTTGATTAGAACGCTCATGAATAGTGCCCAACAACAAAACGAACCTATGGGCAAGGCATGTTAAATCAAGGTTGTAATTTCCATGCATCCATGCAAAACCATCGCCCATCACTTATACCATACTCAAGGGCAGAGCTAGAGAGGACAAAAAATTTATACTGAACTGTTACATAACCTTAAAAATTGAATTGGGCTAGCCCAGGTCTACCCTACGCCCCTTGAACATACGATAAAACCATACTCCAAACTCTGCCAACTCCTTGTTAATTACTTAATATCATTAACCATATAATTATTTTATATGATATATATCATTTAATATCACATGTGATATGTAGGAAGTTTGATGGGTTTGCTGCCTTTTGATGTAAAGTATGTACTGTTTGGGCTATATTGTAACATAAGTTGGGATTTTGCACTTTAGCTTGTTTTATATAAATGTTGTTTGCATGGTGAAAGAGCTTGTAGCTTCCAGTTTATATCATATGTTTGCATTTGGGAATTATGTTGCATTTCAGATATGGTTTAGTACAGTCTACAAGGATAGACTCTTTCAATTTAATAAATTTCGTATTGTCAAAGTCAACCTTAATTCTGGATTTGATGCCTAGCTAACAATTGACACTCATTATTTGCACACGACACGTTTCAAGTCCATCATAATTCTGTAACGAAATTGGAAATCATTTTTTCTCTGCCGTAGAGCTATTTATTTTCTTAGTTGGACCCATTTTGACTGCATAAGCTTGCTTAGTTGATTGAATAATGATCAAAATTAACATCATTTATTACGTAAACACGATTTTACAAATTGAAAATATGTAATTGTTGTAATTAGACAACTACATGCTCTATTATTCTTCATATTGTCTCCATAAGAAAGTAAGTTTTACCACTTGAGGTGAGTTGTTACTATTGACCAAAATGAGATGAAAAATCAAGACTTTAGTGATGTTCATTATAATTTGAAACACAATAATGACAAACTTGATAATGAAAGAGATCAAACGCCTGTTCATTACTCGTATAAATAACTTAAAATCTTGAAATAGCATCGTAGACAATTTTTCACATGGTCAATTATATTTTTTAAACAATCCCAAATTTGTTTAATTAGGTGAATCTATATTAGTGTCACTGTCTTACATTCAAGTTGGTGGATAGATTGATTATAGAGCTCATAGTTGGTGTACTCGTTGGAAATTGACCTCTCTTGACTTTTTAGTGAAGAAATCAATTCGGCTAATAGGAAATAACTTAAATTAAATCAGTGCTATGTACTCCATAAAAAATTAAATTGAAGGGTATTGAAAGTATTTGTAGCATTTCTTTAAGTTTTTCTAATGTTGATATTTTGACAACATGCTTAACATAATCGAAGCTCAAATATCCATCTATCTTCAACTCGTTTAATTAAATTCATTGGGTTATAACCAACAAAGTAACAAACATATACAACCAACAAAAGAATCAAAGTAACAAACATACAGGTCGAGATTAGACAATAAAAATCAAGAAAAAGAATATTAAATATACGATGATATTACCATCTCTTTCTTAAGTTCAAGACCAAAAAAATGACTCTGAATAGTGAAAGATGGAAGACTTTATTTGTTTACATTCCTAGGCCACATTAACGCAATAACATGCATATATGGTATGCAAATTGCCTTATCGACAATTAGTGTTGTGAATGGGACGTGTCGAGCTTGGCTCTCTTGTTTAAAGTTGAATGGGACAAGTCGATTTGAGTATGTCTTTTTTGATGAAGTTACACTTTGTTAAACAAGAAAGAAATATTTTGGATGAAATTTTCAAAACATGATTTATTTTGTAGCAAAGATTCTTTTTTCCCTTTTCCTATATGCCAAAAGGGATGGGCCAATTTTATCTTATCCGGCTATCATTATTAACAGTTTGTATTAATTTAGTCCCCACCATGCCCTCTTAATTCTCTGTTGGGTCGACTTTTTGGTTAACATCTTAAAGTTTAAGGTAAAAAATTTCTTCATCACGTAACATTCATAGTTACGTAAATATAAAAAATATCTTTGCATGAGAATGTTAATCATGAGATGATTGAATCCATAGTCTTAGTAGTTGTTTCTAACTGATCTCATAATGAAACTTTAACGTAAAATAATGTCGACGATAAACAATTGTGGCATTACATATTTTGTTTTGTCGATGCTACGATGAATAGATTGAAATTACTAATAATAATAATAAAATAAAAAATCATATAGTTAATCTAAAATCTAATTTGAACAAAACATATTTTTGCTATAGAGCAAATTTGCTAATCTTTTATTGCAACATTTATTATTGTGAAGATAATTCAAATTAAATATTCTTAGGTCTCCGGATTTTATCAAGAGCGTTGGACTAAGTGGAGAT